CCACCGACTCTCCCTGGACGGGTCTTGCGAAGCATTCCTGGTCTGGGTATGTGATTGAATGTCCTAACTGGGGCATGGTCTATCGTAGCTGGCAGTACTGGTTTGGGAACCAAGGTCCTATGGATAGGGCAGTGCACACAGAGACAGTGCCTGTGTGGCCTGGAACTGATGGGTTTCTGAAGGACAACAGCAATGCTGCCCAGCACCTTTTGGATGAGATGAACTTCCTGGCTCAGTGTCTGAGTTTAGCCTGGGGCACATGAAGGCTATGATCTCCTGGCTGACAGACCAGATCGTTCCCGCGCCTACTAGAGGCCCTACTCCCAAATCCTGAGCTGTAGCAAGTGTGAGATCTCCTTTAAAGATAACGACACTAAGCATCACTGCTGGGCCTTCGGGGAGGGCTTCTGTGACAGCTTGTCCTGACCCGCAGGACAGTGGAACAGGTTTCCTGAGGGAAGGAGTGAGAGATGGGATGAGCGGCTGCAATATTACAACATGGAGATGACACAGTGTTTTAACTCTTCAGGGTCTTCAGGGTCGTCTGGCAATTGTGGGCCAGGGATCGTGATTATATACATGTTGGTGGGTGGTGACTGGTTAAATGAAGGATTGTAAAAGGTGGGTTATGATTGGTTGCTTTGTGGACCAATCATGAGGTGCCGGATAGTATGGTTTTGAAGGTGAGGTTTTGAAGGGGAGCCAACTGTGGCCTTTGGCATTGTGTAATTGTTTGCTCTCTGAGCCTAAGATGGCAAGAGTAAGAGACTCATGAAAATGACCTCGGCAGACTCACTGGTGCGCAGCCTCCCATATATCCTCCTTTTCTGTTTTAATTTGAGAGATGAGGAAAAGGCCTGGGGGAATCATGCTTGTCTTAGGTTGGAGTCATTTATGGAACCATATGTCCATCCTTACCCGTCATTGGAGAGTCCCATAGCTATGATGGGCTTCCTGTCTTAGGTGGAAGGACTGAACAGTTATTGGGTTCATCAGACTCTCTTACCTGTCTTTGGCTAACCGATTCAGCGCCTCAGGTGAGACCAGTATAGGGGTGTTGGTCTTCCATCTTCATTCTAGAATAGTGGACCTGGATAGGCCACATAGTAAGCAAGTCAATTTGTTGTTTGAGGAATGACATGAGCCTATTAAATATAACAGGTCCCAGTGAGCAAACAGACGCCCTACCATGAGACGGTCTACTCCCTGTTGGATTCGCTCAGCCCTGCCTACCGGGAAGCATTTGGAAACACCCTCCTTCAAAGACTGGAAGCCTTGAGATGGGATGGACAGTCATGACCAAGCTTCTTCCTTTCATAGGGGGGCAGGCGCTGGTACAGAATGTTGACAGAAAGCTTAAAATTCTTGCATATGGTTTTAGTGGAAAATGCATCTTTGGTTTTGTGTCTTTATCACTT